ATCAAGTTTTTCAAGAATTTTTTCTGATATTCGTGATTTTGTTGAATTTATTTCTCTTTTAGCTTCAGTAAGGTGTGTAACAATTACAAAAAAAACTGTGCGCACATCTCCAATAGTCGGGTGGGTCGACGAAGAAAGTAACTTGGTAGCTTCATAAATGGGTTCCAACAGAGTTATTACGATTTGAATATTATTCCAATCTTGAATAGTCATGTATTGTTGTTTAAGCTGTGGCATTGAAACCACTAATATGTCCGTCATATCTTTTATTTTATATAGTTTACTTAACATCAAGTACAACGAATTCCATCTGGTTTCACAGTCGAGCTCAGGCATTAAAACTGGTTGGTTCTTCATCGCGAAAATTTTTTTTAATTCTTCTAGGCAGGGTTGGGAGCGACGAATATGGCTTGAGAAATTTCGTGCTTTTTTTGTTGACTCATCAATCATAGAAAGACCATTAACGACAGCGAGATTAAGTATATGGGCGGCACATCGCAACCTGCAAAAAGCGTTGTTATCATAGTGATATTCTAACATACTAGCAAGATGTTCACCACAGGCATCCATGTTACTAGCATTGTCAGCGGTCATCGACAAAATTTTTCTTCCTAAACCAAAATTCTCGATTAATTTAAAAATTGTTTCGGCCAAAAAACCACCTGTATGGCGCTCATGCAAAGGAATAAAGTCCAAAAGTATACGGCGCAACTGCCACTCGTCATCGATCCAGTGCAAAGTGATTGCAAGAAAAGCTTGGTTTGTGCATGCGGACCATGCATCGGTCGTGATTGACACCTTATGCCCAAAAGTTTTAAGAAAATTACGTAGTTGGCTACGTTCTCTTTCATACAGCTGCCAGATATGGATCGAGATCGTTTGCCTGCAGGGAAGCCTATAGCGGGGGTCGAGTTCAAAAACAAACATACGAAGGTCTTCATCTTCAACCACACAAAATGGTTGTTGATTGCAGACAATCCATCGAACCAGGAGACCATTCAATCTTTTTATTTTTTTTTCATCACGAACACCATAATATTCTACAGCTCGTGGAGGTGACAACTGAAGCAATTGATGGTATTCGGATTTATGGTTACTTTCGAAGTGCCGTTTGATTGTACTAATACCAGTTCCAGTACTGTATTTTGTTTTAGGGCACAGGCTGCAGAGAATGAATTTTTTATCTGGAGTTGGTTTAAAATAATTCCAGATAGGGTGTGCATTTTTACCACACTTGAAAAATAGTTCTTCAGTTCCTTCAGCACTGGTTTCTTTATTGAAATCGGAACTCAATTCAATTACAAAACTCTCGTCTGGACGAGGAAGTGTATTAGAGGTAGGTGCAGAATTTTGTAAGTTTTGATTCAAAGACATGATGCGACTAATAAAATTTTTCGAGAATTCAAATTTTGGTTTAGAGTTTTTATACTTACGGATATTAAAAAATCATGTCACAGCCAAACAAACACATTCGCGACAAAAAAAAAAAACAATTACAAGAAAAAAAATCATGTCGCAGCCAAACACATTTGCGACAAAAAAAAACAATTACAAAAAAAATGTCATGTCGCGGCCAAACACATTTGCGACAAAAAACAATTACAAGAAAAAAAACCAATACAAAGAGAGGGTATTTAGATCTCATTAACGAAAGAAATGCGAATTGTCATTAATTAGGGGAAAATTCAGACTAGTAATATTATAGCCTGATGTAATTATAACACGATCATTCAAGCGATTAAATGAATGTATTTATGTAGCGATAACCAACATTGTATGTTTCGCTCAGCGTCACTATCTGCATATTTTGATAAGAAATGAATGTTTCATGTTCATCCTTTTATATTCTAACTTTGTGAATCAAGACAAATCAGCTCTAAGCAATTGTTGGCAACTTTATTGATCAAAAGGCGAAATTGTAATAAAAGCCATCGGTATTTATTAATTTTGTGATTACGCCATAATTACCAGGCCATTATTGATCGAAGGCGAAAGATTAGTAATAAAGGCCATCGATGCTTACTACTGCTATAACATTACGCCATAATTACCAGGCCATTATTGATTGAAAGCGAAAGATTAGTAATTGGTACGTATATACGTACGTACTTTACTAATTTAATTCTCCAATTGGAAATACCACCAATTAGGAAATTTTAAATCATTATTTAAAGTACTACCATTTAAAAAACATCGTTCATGATTCCTTACTTATTGAATTTTATTTGATGTGTCAAAATGACACTTTATTTATATCATGTGAAATATCATGTGGTGTCAGAACTGGTTTTGGACCAGTTCTGCGCTAGTCCCTAAAAAGTTCGGTCCAGACCCGGTCCGAACTCGTTCCCCGTGGACCACTTAACATCCCTATAGTTTCAGTCGGGAAAATGATAGAAATCCTAATACGGCAATCTTATTGTACGCTAAATTTTTTCGTTAATGCGTTCTATCGTGACAAAAATTGGATGTATTAATCTCCATAATATTATCTAATTCCTAAAGGTATGAAAAAAGAAGACCAATCACCATAATTACGGCATTACGACATGGAACTACAATCCATACTTCACGTGCCGTAATTATGCCGTAATTATACGTTTTTCAAAAATTAAAATTAAATATATAGTTAAGAAACCGATACTATATTTGGGAATAAAATATATCATACGTATTAAAGTAGCAAATTAATCTAATAATACCCGGTTTATTCAAGGCACAGACTGGTAGGGATGGTAATATCCGTTCAAAAATAGAGATGTCCTTTCAAAGGTAAAAATGAGATTTCCGAAATTTGGTGTAGTGATTTTATCGTGGCTTCGAACCGATCAACATTATGGATCTTCGATTATAGATTAAAAGTAATAGATAAAATTCTCTAGCGAAAGTAATACAAACGTGTTCGCAGAAGAAACACTGCAAGTTACGAAGGAATTGAGTGTTAGGTTAAAGATCGAAGAAAAGCCTTGTCTCTTAAGGAGAAGCTGTTAAATTCTTGAGATTAGGCTGTGAAAATAATGGATTAGTCGATAAAAGCCCCTTCCGTTCCGTACTGATGTAAAAGCTATAAAAGAGTTGTAATTTCGCCTCTGAAAAAAATCAGAACCTTACGGTTATCAATAAATTAATAAAATATTCATATCAAAATTCCTTCTGCATAAATACCCTATTTATTATCCTTGTCACGTCTCTGGCGAGTTTCTTTGTCTATATTTAATTACAATTTATTGCTCTATTATTTCACCCCGTCACATCAACCCGGTCTTGAAAAATTTTTACACGCGAAGAATTAAATTTATTAATACTTTGTTAAAGAAAAAGTAGACTGGTATCTTGATGAACTATTGCCCCATTTGCCGAAATAACATATAAGCGGGTTTCTCTATCAACTATATGGCGTTCATTAAATACTGTGATAGCTCTCGTAAAAAGGTAGTTAAAATTAAAATTTAATTAATATATTTAAAATTAATTCTTTCAAACTAATCATTTCTTAATAATTAGCTGCAAAAGTTAGCATCTGAAAGAAATGAACTTTTACGAAGTGCTTTTCTTGCCAACATTGGAGCAAATTATCGTCCTGACCAATCACTTTTTATAGAAGAATCAGTAAAAGACGAACAATTTTGAACAGATATTACGGATATGCACCCAAAACACTCGTGCATATAAAAAAAAACATTTTCATTTTCATTCGTGGCAAAAAATATATAATTTTACCAGCACTCTCATTAGATGGTTTTTTTAGCAGTTGATATTTTAGAAGATAATTGCAGTCAAGAACAGTTTTATGAATTTATTTTATCCCAAGTGGTAAGTCAATTAAGTTTATTACTATTTGTCTTTTTTTTTTTTGTTAATATAATAATAAATATATTATTTAAAAATAGATTCCAACAATGAATCCTTTTCCAGAAACCATAAAATTATAACGCTTGATAATAGATAACGCACAAATTCATCATAGTGAATTTCTTATTAAAATTGTAGGACTTGGGTGTCGTATAATTTTCTTACCTCCCTATTCACCCTTTCTTACTCAATAGAGACGACTTTCAGCATCATTAAAAAATCTGGATCGTAGAAATAGGGATTTTATGAATGCCACAGCAGATTCGATTCATGAACTTATGATCGCAAGTGCTGAAATTACACCTGGTCGTTTTTCTGGATTACTATCCATACATTCATTTGCAAGTTGAAATTACACCCGAAATGGCAGCATGTTTTTTCGTAGATAGTTTATTTTGAATAAACATATTTTGTATTTAGTACAGTACTTGAATGTTGCTTGTTTGAAGTTATGATACATGTAATTTCATAGATGAAATCATATGTAATTTAAATTTAAAGGTGTGATATCAATATATTCATTAAAAATTGTGTTGGAATGTTTCAAAATTTATCTATTGAGAACTTGTATGCATATCTCGCTTAGTTATAATGGTGTTACATGTATATTAAATTCTATAACTATCGCTAACAGATTTATACGTATTCATATTTGTAAGAAAAAAACTAAAGTTATGAAGTAAATCTGCCGTGTAATATGTACCGACCAGCCCACATCCCTAGTACTGATCTAATTATAAGGGGATATTATTTTTGGAGAATACTGCAAGCAGTAGTCAACGGCAACTCAAGAAATTATTATTACAAGGAAGCCATATATGGCACTATTATTTAGAGGTTGGGTTACCTGAAATTCATAAATTCTCGGTGCGAAATTCAATGTTCTCTGAGAACATACAAAATTTCAAATCTATTATATAGATGTTCTTGTGAGAACATAAAATTAAATTTGAATTTCACACACTGACTCGACAATCTAATAATATCCGATGAAGATTTTCAATGGGACTATTATTACTTAACGTTAACGTTAATAAAAGTTTACTAAGAACTGATGTGTCATTAAACGCTAAATAGATTGATAATATTCTAATTTATAGAATTTCTCTAACATGATTGAAAGTTTGTAAACATATCATGTTGACGATTAGTAAGTTTGCAAATATCAAATTTAATTGATTTAATGAAGCTCAATGAAGTGTCAATTTATTTACTATTGGAGTCAATCGACTAAAACTATTAATAGCTATTAGTCATAGACTAGTCGATTTAGAAACAAAAAAAAAATTAGTCAATAAATATTCGCGTATAAACATGATACATCATTAATTCAATATACGATTTCTATTGGTTACTATAGTCATCATCTCGATGAGTTGATTTACATTTGCGTACCAGTTTGAGGGACGAGTCGATAACTAACGGAATTCAATAAGGTACACAATAACATTAATATTAGGATAAGAGCCAATAAGTCTTTTTTACAGCATATAATTTTTAAGATATCGATAGTTTGAATTTTTCACATTACTCTTCTCAAATTTAAGCCTGACTAATAATACTGATGAAATTACTACTATATATTGTTAAATTGGTGAAATTTGATAAATGAATTTCATTAGCATCTCTAATGTAAAGTGAGTATAAGGTAATTAGGAACGGTTTAGCACGTTGTATGCTTTTTTTAATAAACTTGTTAATTATTGATGTCATTTTTTTACTTTTATAAATCTTGAAATCCATATCATTCATTCTATGAGCGGTGGTTCCTAGATTAGATGAAAACATATTATATAGTACTCTTTAGTTCTAAAATTAGAAAACATTCGTGTACTTAAGTTATACAGCATTTTTTTTTATTAGACCAGCAAATAATATCAATAGTAAAGTCGACCAAACTAAACGACTAGTCAAAAATAAATGTGTGAATTTCTAATTCTACTGTTATGTGGAAAAAAATTTATAGACACCAACATTCATAAAGTAGTACAATAGAAACGTCATTTCATTTATTATAAAACTCACCTATGGTGGTTTTGTACCTATTTTATGTTTTTATTATGATTTTAAAATTTTTTGTATAAATTTTTAGCAACGCAAAAGTTAGTGTTTAGGATTAGAATTAGGATTTGGGAAAGGTTTTTGGGAACATAGAACAGTTTTACTTAGAATATCTCAACCGATTAATTATCCAGTTTTTGAGATAATGTAAAACACCATAGGTGCGTTTAGGGATGGAGAAGTTCGTATTGGTTTGGATTGGCTTAATATATTTTATAATATATGCAGTAGCTGCATATATTAAACAAATCCAAACCGATCCGAACTTCCCCATCTCTAGGTGCGTTCTAGATATTCATCAGAATAGTCAAAAATATAAATTTTATTTTGTTATGACAAACAAAGACAATAATAATAGATATATCATGATAGGAAAATAAAATAAGTTAAATTATTTACATATAGCAGAAATATTTTAATAACTAATATCTATATATTAGTGTTAGCATTTCTGTTTATATGAATTAATATATGCTATTCGTATCCAACTAAATAATTATATAGGTACGCGTGGGTGGTTTGAGAAAAGAAAAAATTTCCTATCATCTTTTAAGCAATGTTAAATAACAGAATAAAGAACACATTAATCTTGTATAATAACACGTGCCCTAGTGTATACTTTCATTTTTTCAGGATCTTCTAGCTCAGATCCAAAAAGTGGAAATGAACAGAATTGCACTACTAAATTACTAACATCATCATCGTCCCAAATACCATCCATAAAGAGTGGATCAAAAGGTTTATTATTTTCAATCCACATGTAATCCACTATTGGTTCCTGTATATGTCTTCGAAAATAAAATATACTAATAACATCACGAATAAGAGCTGATGCTTGTTTCTCAATTTCTCTTCTCTTGGAGGTATCATTAATAGTACGATATTGATTTATCGTGTTAATAAGTTGTTTTTTACTATTAGATATAAATGAATGCTCAAGGTTTCCTTCTTCACAGGTAACATCTGAAAATGCCAAGTTTCCGAGAACCATATATATTTGTTGTCGTACTTTTGTCGGAATTGCTTTCATAATATCATTACTACCAGACCTTTCATTAGACAATTTGTAAAAATCATTTAACAATGGGCTTAAAGGATTTATTATATCCTTTTCAAGATGAAATTTATCTGATTTATCAGACTTAAGGTAAGTATTGACCATATTGATAATTGTTTCAATTACCAAGCGTTTTAAAACTTCTTTCACGAGTCTTATGTCAAGGTTTCCTTCGATGTTGCACTTGTATTGTTTCATAAGTTCCGAAATCTTATCTTCATGTATACTAATACCTTTTTTTAAATTAGTGACAAACTTTGAGACTTTATCATATAATTTATTAATATCCTCAGTTAAATAAACGGAATTATTCTGGTCATCATCAGCCAATCGATAACTGGTCATCTTACTTAAGGCAACTTGGTAATTAGAGGCTTCATCTTTCAAAGAATTATTCTTTTGTTTCAATAATTCAATTTCTTCTTGTAATTTAACTATTTGTTTGCT